TATTCCAAAATTAAAATTAAATCATGAGTTCAACTAAAAAGCCAGAATGTTGTGTATCATATGTACGAATCTGTGATCAATTCAGAGTACTCACATAGTATTTGATTAGGTTAATATATATAAAAACATCAACTAAGAAAAAGTTTTCATGATAGTGAGGAATCACTAAGAATAAAACATAACATAAATACTGGAATGGCAAATCTATGACAAGTGCATCTAACAGTTTGGGGATAGGATATCACAAAGTTCTAGTATGTCGTGGACATGGACAGTATCCGTTATGCTTCATGGTGGCCAGGTGTCACTTGTGGGACTGAGCTGCTGCTATTTCCTGGATATCTACTCTGTACACCCGGATAGAATCATGACCCATAGATGCAGGAGAAGACCATTTGTAGAATATGCTGATGGAAATATTTTGCTGCTGTATACAAAAGAATAATTGAAAGACTGCTGTTGTATACTTCTTTTTCTCTTGTGTTTGATTGTGTACCCTATTTGGTGGGTTCAATTCATGGAGTTGTGGACATTTTGATCCTTCTCTAGAATATCTTTTAGTAGTCTGTGTAGGATTGGCTTTGTTGTCATGAAATACTTTAGTAGTTCTTTGACACGGAAGTATTTCCCTTCTCCATTATACTTGAAAGAGAGTTTTGCAGACAGACAGATATATCAGGCTTGGCTGGAATTTGTTTTCTTGTAAGGCTTATAGGCATGTACTATAGCTGTTTGACAATAATTGTTTGCTGAATTAAAAAGCATTGTCCCTTTAAATATGGAAATATTTTAATAAATTTTAAAAGAATATGGATATTTACATTCAATAAATTAGATTTTGTTCAGATTATTATGTTGAAATGGTTATCATCAAGTGTTGATATGTTCAACTTTAAGTCCCTACAGAATACCTGTTCTATATTATGCCTAAGATGTTTGATATTCAGACAGTGAGGTTAAGCTTAACAGCCTAGGTTGTATGGTAATAACAATAAGTTTCTCTTTTGGAGGGCTAACAACCGAAGTTTGTAGACCAAAATTAGAGAAAAAGGAGGGCTGCAAGGAAAGCCAACATTTTGTCCCTAGCCTTCCGAGGTCAATTATGACTCAGGCCATATGAGAACTTATACTGTAACATCATGTAACTCAGTAGTGTCCCAAATTTTCTGATCAAGGAGATTATGGGGCCGAAGAGGAAAGTGATCGATAATGTAGAGTGTGCCTAAGGAGAGTCACATGGAGAGAAAACATCCTCTCAGCCTTTCACAGAGAGCACATTGGCCAAGCAATGGCCGTGACTTATCCACATGGCTGACATTGACAAATGTTCTACAATCTGAGGTACAGGATCTCAGGATAAATCCTGAGGGGATTTGACTGACCTTAACAGATCCAAAAGCTACAACTCTTGTTGCATAGGTCTTGCTTTACCTTGGTCTTAACCATCCAGCAGAAAAGTAAAAAAAACAAAATATAAGAAGTAAAGCCATGTTGTTACGTTGAGCTGTAGGGGACTCAGGTCAACAATTTCTGACATTGCCAGTCAAGTGGAAAACCCAATACTATTATGGACTACTGAACTCTTTTAGAATATTTTGCTGAATTAATACACTTATAATATTCCAATGATGGAACTAAACAAAAAAGGGGATACAGATGAATGTCCATTTTGCATCTGTGTATTCAAATTGGTTAGGATAGATATATAGTTACATTCTCTTAATAAATAGAGGGATTTGTTGTAATAGTGTTTGTAAATAGGATATCATGTCTGCATCTTGTACAGCAAGCAACCACTAAGAAGAGAGTATGCAATGTGTTAATTATTGAAACTGTCCTACCAATTTGATTTGAATCATTTCATTGCTATTTGTTTCTCAATAAAATTATGGGGAAAAAACTCAGAAGAAGAAATAAATATAGAAAGTTATAACAGAATTAAAAGGAAAGTGCGAAATTGAGGATTAGAGAAAGAAGAGAGTGCAAGGAGAAAAACTAGGAAATATGACAGTGGCAAAGCCATACACAAGAAGATGGTTAAGGCAATGATCCTGAGAATCTTCAGCAGGTTTGTGAAACTAGCAGTGAATTGGTAGGATTCTCACCCTGACTAACTATATATGTGGATACCTGCGAACTAAGCAACTGCACTGAAGATAGCAATGTGTAATACTAGGGTCATTCTTAGAATTCCTGTCATTCTGGTCTTCTAAATATGTACTGCTTGTCATGTCATACCAATTACTGCCATACTGTCTTTCATGTAAATATTTCTTTAAAAATAAAAGGTAATAAGTGAAAACAAGAGACAAGAAAAAATAAAAATAAAAATAAATTGGTAAAAACAGAAAAAAAGAAATGGTTATCATTATGAAAGATAAAGAGATTATAAATGCTACATTTGTGCTATTTTACTGTGAAAACTCATGGAACTGAGTTATATTTAAACTCAGTTTAAATCTTCTAGAAAGATCTTCCTTCTTTAAGAATAGAGTGTTGTTTATTGAACGCAAAGACAAAATTTACAAATCATAGATGTTGCATTTTCCCACTTCAATTTACCACACAATCATTAAGCTCATTGTAGAATCATAAAATATTATTACAGAATGATCCATGCCAAAATGAGCTGATCGATAGTCTGTAGATGCAGGTAACATGTCAGCCAAGGTGCAACAAGGATAAGGCAAAGGAAGGCTTCTCAATGCCTTGCTTTATCTCTCAGGATATCATAGAATATGATTGGCCATGCCCATAGTGTATGCTATTGGTTTTCAAATGTTTAAAACTGGAATGTGAATACTGACTTAAAATCAAGTGATGACATCATGTACAACCCTCCATCAAGAATAAATTTTCTTTTTTTTTACGTAGGGAAAAATAAATTTAAGAATCTATCACAATTTACCCAAATATCTATTAAATAGATAGGAAACCACAAAATATACAGAAGTATGGTATGAAGTGTTCTTCAAATTATTCACAATAAGCCATAAAGAATGCAACTCGTCAACAAATCCATTCTTCCCTCTGATTCTGTTGTGAAGCTGGACCCATCAAAACTGTCACTGTTATGGGACAAGATAAATTCCATGCATTGAAAACATAAATTTTTGGGCTCTCTGACGTGCGGCCCCGCCTTCTGTCAGGTGCTGGGGCCGGAAGATGGCGGCGGCTGCCGAGTTGAAGCTGCTGGAGAAGTCGCTGGGGCTGAGTAAGGGTAATAAGTACAGCGCTCAGGGCGAGCGACAGATTCCAGTTCTTCAGACAAACAATGGCCCAAGTTTAACAGGATTGCTAACAATAGCAACTCATCTAGTCAAGCAAGCCAACAAGGAACATTTTCTGGGAAGCACAGCAGAAGAAAAGGCAATGATTCAGCAGTGGTTGGAGTACAGGGTCACACGAGTAGATGGACACTCTAATAAGGAAAATGCCCACACACTCCTGAAGGATCTTAATTCATATCTTGAAGATAAAGTCGACCTTACAGGATACAACCTTACCTTAGCAGACATCCTATTGTACTATGGACTTCATCGCTTTATAGTTGACCTGACAGTGCAAGAAAAGGAGAAATACCTTAATGTGTCTCGCTGGTTTTGTCACATTCAGCACTATCCAGGCATCAGGCAACATCTGTCAAGTGTTGTCTTCATCAAGAACAGACTATATGCCAACTCTCACTAGAAGTTACGCATGGCCTACAGAAGTGTGATTAAAAGTGTTTAAATGGAAAGTGTATTCTTTACACAGGACTAACAAATATGCAGTCATTGTTTATTTATTGGAGCTGGTAGAATTTTTAGAAGCATAAACTCATGTGTGAATGATTTATTTGTTCATTAGTTGAAGTCTTGCAGTTTTTCATGTAAAAACTCAACTACTATCAAAAAAGTTGATCAGAGTATACATTACCTTGCTTTTATAGGTAAATTTATTTAAATAAAAGTTGCAAATCAGTGGCTTAATCTAAAAAAAAAAAAAAGAAAACATAAATTTTTGGTTTGAAATCTCATTCAAAATCCATTCTAGAGCTGGTGAGATAGCTTGGTGGTCTAAACACCTGCCTGGAAAGTTCAAGAAATCGGGTTTGATCCCCTGCACTGCATGCCATGTGAGCCCCAAAACCCCAGGCATGGTGGCAAACACTGGTAACCCCAGCTCTGGGGAGACTGAGACAAGAAGATCACTATGAGTCAGAGTTGTGTAATGAGACCCTGTACCAAATAAACAAAAGAATTTTTTTAATCCATTCCAATTAGGATTAAAACTTTAAAATCATACACAGTTTATCACTATACCACCATTCCTGTCTATGCCATCCAGGCTTAGGTCTGAGGACCTAGATCTGGGAATCATACTCTGCTGAGTGTTTACTTTTCTCCCCCTTCTTTTTCTTCTGTGACTCACAACATGTGAAATGCAGCACAAATGGAATAAAGAGAATATTGATTTAGGGAGAGGCTTCTGTCATGCTCAGCAGTGGTGTAAACTTCATGAGCAATGTCCATGATGAGGCAGCCTTGCAAACTGGCTATATGATGAGGCCCACGTGTTTACTGTTCCTTCCCAGGAAGCTTGTCAGCCCTACCGAGTCATGATGGGAGTCGACCACTCCAATGGACCCTTGTCCCTCCAGCTTGCACTCTGTACTTCAGGGTTTTTGCATCAGTAGGCATACTTTCCAGGGGGTTACTCCACTGAGGAAGGGATTCATGGCTTGAGGTTTAGTCCCTGTTCATCCTCTTTATGCCATAATAATCCAGATTTATGTTGTGATAATTTTAAGTTGACAAAAGGTAAAATTGGAAAGTGTGCTGAAAGCCTACTGAGCAGACCAAGGAAGGAGTTTACACTGTCACTGATCCAGGGTCAAAGACACTTGACCTGCAGTGATGTATCTATCTATCAAGAGAGCTAAAACACTAATGGAAGATAGAAGAATAACAGAATAATAAGTTAAAACAGGAGTGGAATTCACAGGAGCTGTCCCCAAAGTCCCAGAAGCTCTTCACAGACCTGACCGTGCTGAAGGACATTACAGTCATCCTCACCAAGAAGTCAGCGCAGGCCAGAGAGGCGATCAGCAAGTTGGCTGGAGAGTGGAGCTGCTTGAAGTGGAGGATAGAAGTCATCACCAGCAGGTTTCCCAAGACAGCCAGCGCAGCGCCAGAGCCAAAGAGCAGGTAGAGCAGCAGGTGGGGGCCCAGGGCATAGGGAGCTTTGACACAGGATCTGTTCACATTTTGGTAACACAGCTGGACAGGTGCAGGAGGGGTCAGTTCATTAGTATCTATGATTGTTTTTTGGTACCTGAGAAAACTGTTATCATCTATGGCTTAATGTGCAATTCCTGTCTTCATAAATCCCCCCAAAAAGATGAGGCAAGTGGAGGATTTATATTTAACTGTTGTTTATACAAAAAGATAATTTATAGGCCAGCAAGGTAGCTCAGCAAACTAACCACCTGCTTTGGCAAGCTCAGGACCAGGGTTCGATCCGGCCCCACCCCTGGGGCAGACCAAACCAATGACTGAGTCCAGACATTGTAGTGTATGCCTGTAATCCCTGGGCTGAGGAGGCCAAAACAGGAGGATCACTATAAATCTGAGCTACATAGTGAGACCCTGTATGAAATATATAAAATGAAAAAAAAGAAAATTTATGCCCTTTTAATTTGCATAAATTTGATAACATTTATTCTTTCCATGAAATAGAAATTGAAATAATATGTATCCTAAGAAATTTACACATCCCAAGAAAATTTTGCCTGTCTTGTTTGTTGTGATTAATTATTAGAGATTGGCTTTTCACTATTTTGAGAACCATTATGAATGATTTTCATGAGGAGAGTCACTAATGTGTTTTCACTTTATGACATTCAGTATGAATTTGTGGTAATGGAATAACATAGGCAGTCATATCATAACATCTAAAATAATGTGGGTTTCATTTTAATAAACTAGGAGAGTACAGTATTGTTGGGAGCCATGGAAGCTAGGAAATTGATCAAATGTGTGTAGGTGGGATTAGGCCTCAGTGCCTAAAGCAAATAAGCTATCTCAGTTCTGAGATAAACATCCTGTCTGGTTATGGTCAGCTATTAGTCTCTAGGCAACCTTATGTCATGTATTAATATCTGCAAAAGTATAAATAAATGTAGGTTTTGTTGTGCTTGCAGTTAGTCTTGCCCATCAGGCAGACCAGCCACCACCTAGCCCAGCTTTTGTCTTCTTCTCTATCTTTCTCATTCCTGCCACTGTTTCTCCCCAAGTAAAACCAATCACAGTGAAACCAATAGATCTCTACATAGTACAAGTTATTTTCCTCAGGGAATCAAAGGAAAAAGCAAATGCTAAGTATAATTAAAGTTCATTATTTTTAAGGTTTGCTTATTTTGTGTATTTGTTTTTAACAAGAATTTCTGACATTATTAAAAAATGAATAGTTAAAGAATATTCAGAAGCAGAAATCCAAAGATTTAGTATGATTCCATTTTGTACATTGCAAATTTATGTTATCTCTTTTAGAACTCTAACACTGAATTCATGGTAGCCTTTGATAAGATATTTTTCATGAATGATTTTTGAACATATTTTAAAAGGAGAGATATAATGTTTATTTAAAGATTTCTCAACTGTGATATTCTGTACTGGATAATTTAATGTGAATTTCACTTTCCTCAACAAATTCATATATATTCATTCCCATTAGCATTGGTCAACATCCCAAGCTTAGTTTTACATTTTCTAATTTTATAAATCACACAAAAGTAACACAATTTTATTTCCATTTATGGAAGTGCAAAAAGAACGAACATATTTTCATATTAAGATCAGTAACGTGTTCTTTTCTCTAACTGTAATTATCTATTAATGGCTTTCTATTCTATATGTTCTTTTCTTTTTTGTGGTACCAGAGATTGAACTCAGGACACTATGCTTGCCAGGTAAGTGCTTATTTTACTGAGCTAACTCCCCAGAAAGCAGCTTATTATATGTTTTTAATTGTATAAATTCAGTATAAACAAAATGATGCTTTAAAATGTGTCCAAAGTAGTTTTTATAGGTAATGTTTTAACATATTCATTACTTTTTAGTAAAAATTTTCCATTTTCAGTAGTCAGAATCCCTAACATCTATTTTTACTAAGTTAATACTTATTGCAAATAACTGTCATGGGATTGGTGAGTTTTAATTGTGTGAAGGATGTTGCTGATTTGCCTACATTTGGATCCATCACAGGGTATTGAAGCAAATTATATTATATAATCAATATAATTATACCACTTAGTCATCTCCGTCCAGACCATGGGGACTGAAGCACAGGTGAGCTAACACACAACACAGGAGTTAGAACAGTAGAACTGGCCAAAGGGTCAGAGCATAGATGACACTGGAAATGAAGAACATGCAGATTTGTGTCACTGGGCTTCTATGCTTATGTCTTCTAGGGCCCTCCTGTTTGTGTGTCCAGGTTTATTGTCAGTAAACCACCTGTCAGTATGTTTCCTGGTCCCTGTTTGTGTGGTAAATAAGTAAGAGCAAGTAAAAGAAAACTGTGAGCATCTTCATCATTTGAACTGATCCTACCAGTGGCTAAAGCCATAGCAGTTAAAAGGGACCACTTCTGGCTTTGCCCTTTCCCTAAGTGCAGTGCAACTCCAGGTAGGTGCTGGCTCATTTGTGTTCCTCTACACTCTCCTACCTTGAGCTGAGTGTCCCTGTTGCCCTCTTCTTCCAAGCTCATGGTATAAGGACCAATATCCAGACAGGCTATACACTGCATCTCTCCCAACCTCCTCTAGGAGAAACAAGTCAAGCAGCAAAGGATTCCCTATTCTGGTTCTCAATGCTCCTCACAAGAACAGGGACCAGAAAATATACTGACAGGTCCCTGTGATAATAAACTTAGACAAATGGACAGGATGGCCCTGAAAGACACAAGGATAAGAAGCTCAGTGACACACAATTTGCATGTTCCTCATTTCCAGTGTCATCCATGCTCTGACCCTTTGATGACTTCCGCTGTTCTAACTCTTGGTGTTCTGAGTTAGCTCACCTGTGCTTCTGTCCCCATGGTCTGGATGCAGACAGGTCAAAGTGGCTCATAGGGATCTATAGACTTGGCTAGAGCTCTGCTGACAGAAGCTTCAGCACTAGCACTGGACAGTCTCCGACCCTTGCTCTGCCTGATGCACGGTGGCAGGCTGGCTGACCTCAAACAGTGCATGTAGTTGTTTTCCCAAGGGCCCTTACACCTAGAACCTGTCTTACAACCCATGGTGTGGGTGCTGACACGTGCTGAGCTGATCATCTTGGCTTTGGCCCTAACTAATGAATGGCATGAAAATTCCCTGGCTCTGATACTAATGAAATGAGTTAGCTCTGATGTCTGTGCTTACTGAAACTGTCAGGTCCCCTGCCAGAGGACCTTCTCACACTGCTGTAGACCCTCCCACTGGCTGCTTTCCTGTCCAGGTCCCATTCTCCCCATCTGTACTCTTTCATTTTCCTCCTGCATGAGCTTTTCTTCTGGAATTTTTGTTTTTGAGCCCCTTCCCAGAGGAAACAAATTAAGTCATTTTCCTTCATTTTCTCTTGGTTGATCATAGTATCTCAATATAGTCTTTGAATAAATAAAATCTTAGCCACAAAATTTTATTTTATTTCTCCAACTTTGGTATGAAACACATAGGAGCAAATAAAAAGAACCATGTGTTGATTGCTGTGACAGGCATCTATATGATTGTAAAGTAATCACATGCTGAATAACTCATTTATGCAGTATGCATAGGGAAATTACCAATAACTGGCCCCTGTTGCTCCATCTGTGAGACCCAGGAGCAAGATCAATGGTGAAAGAGGGAAGAGGTATCCAGAAAGAAAAGGCAGCCTATGCCAACTAGCAAAGATGAGGTAAAAGGATTATTACAATTGTCCAAATTTTGAGTAGCTCTTACATGGGTATGCTGCATGGAACAGTAGGAGATATGTCCAAGGGCCAAGACTGATCAACTAGTATTACATTACCAAGAAGTTTAGATTCATGCAGGAGTCAGTATATTCAGAGGGGAAGATAAAGACATACCCCTACTTGGTCAAAGGTGAAAATGTTCACCACTGCACTCTTAGGTGTGATACCAACGCAATTGATTTTTTTTTCTGCATTTGATTAGATTTGTACAAAGGGGTGCTTTCCACCAAGATTAAGAAATAAATTGCTTTGCACCAAGTATAAGTCATAAATGTAAGGTTTTTCCCTCTTTTTTGCCCATAGTAGCATCCAATTCCTCTTTGTTAGGCCATCTTATTAGTAGCTATTGATTTTCATTTTTTTGTTTGTTTGTTTTATGGAATGATTTCCTCAGACTAAGGAGTGGACTTAGTAGTGTTCCTCCTCCAGGAAAGGGAGGTGCTCCTTCCAGCTGTATTCAGCCTTCTCATTACAGCTAAAGGAACAGTAGCCTATGATAGAATTGTAAGGTCAATACCTGAGGATCTGAAAAATATGTTCCTGTCTTTCTTGCTAATTTTTTTAGCAACTAATTTTTTAGCGACTCTGAACACTTTATTTTGATGTGGATTGTGGTGAAATTTCCTTTGTCAATCACTGCACTTCTGTTCATGCAAAGAAACCCTGTCTAGAAATCTTCTAAACACTTTCCTTCAGATCCTTGCTATTTCTCAAATTGGCAGTGACACTGGAGGGGTCACCATTTCTATTCTCAACCAGTCTTATCACCAGGTCAGGGTTAGCACCCTCTATTCAGGATCACTCAGCCTGGAGTTTAGATACCCACAGCATGAGGCATCTTAAGAAGACTCAATTTGCTCCAACTTCTAGACAGGAAGCTCTCAGTCATATCCCAAGGTCCTGTGCTAATAGAAATAAGAGAAAGTACCAAATATTAACATTAGATTTACTTCCTAGAGAAAGACTTCATATCCACTCTTTCCCCACTGAACTCTCAAACTTCTGTTGCTAAAGCTCTTTGTTCTACTCAGAACACTTGGTTAGTTCTTGCTGGGCACGTGAAAGGGAAATGCATCTTGGGAAATACTCTTGGCAGCTTCCACAATCTCTCCATGCAGCACATAATCAGTCCTTAGGAAAGGAAGACTCGGACGATCTTGAAGTCCTGCTGCAAAAGATATTAAAATCGCGGGCTTCAGGCGAAGTGGGGTTGAAGGGAGGGGAGGAGAATGGGGGAAAAAGAAGAATCAAGATATATCATGTACAGCTACCAACTGCCTGTGATGAACGTGATCATCATGCATATCCGAAATGTACCGCGAGCTAAATTAATTTAAAAAAATTTTTGAATCTTTTATTTATTTATTTGGTACAGGGTCTCGCTGTAGCTCAGATTGTAGTGATCCTCCTGTTTCAGCCTCCCCAGCACTGGGATTACAGTCGGACTCCACCAGGCCTGGCTTCAGTGGCCAGCACCATGCCCATGGGGTTCCAGGGCTGGCACAGCAAGCAGTATTGGGGACTGAACCTGGCAGTACTGAGATTTAACCCTGGCCATTGTGCTTGCCACGCAGGCACTTAGACCATCAGGCTAACTCCCCAGCCTGATTTAAAAACGTTTTTAAAAATTGGAAAACCAAAAGATTTGAAATTTTGAAATTTTTAATCATTCCAAATTAGAGTTTCTGAAATATAGGAATCTAATTACAATTCATCTCACTATGTACAAAAAACACAATAGAAAGTATGCATCAATAATATCAATATACTAAAATTGTTTTCCTTAAGTTAATAGAAGGAAACACAGTTAAGGTCAGTGCTTGTAAAAATTAATGTCAATATGTGAAAATTAATGTCAACTTTAATGCATTTATTTTTATCACAAACATTCAAATGATAACATAATTTACAGTGCGTATTCCCATTATGCATAAAGTGACTTTTCCAAAACAAACTTAATAAATTCACATGTGCAAGTCTGATTGCCTAGACTATTTTGTAGTATGTATTACAGAATTTTTTTTTGTGGGGAGGGGATTGAACTCAGGCCCTTGTGCTTGCCAGGCAAGCGCTTATTCTACTAAGCCATCTCTCCAGCCCTCTATTAGAGAATTTTTTGAGTTTGTAGCAAACTGATTACCTCATGTCGATTTACACAAGACTTCCAAATGCTTTTGAATGGCTCCATGCCATTCTATTACACAAGTGTAACATAATTTACTTAATTTGTCCCTATTTATCAAATCATTTCCATTTGTTCATTAAAAATTATACAACAAATATCTTTTTTAATTTTTTTATTTTTAAAGAGTACAAATTAGAATTAAACAGAAAAAAATCACAAGTGATACAGAATTTCACTTAAAGTAATATGAATTTCATAGTATTTGTTGTAATACATAGTGCTGTCTTCCAACCAGTTATTCATATTACAGGCATATGCATGTAATATGCAACAAATATCTTTTTCATTGTAATTACTCATCTGATTCTCTTTTTAGGTTAGAAAAAATGGTATTATTAACTGACACGTATGTTTTAAATTTTATACAAACTCTGATTTCCCTCAGAAATGGGAAAGTGAATTATTTTCTTTGGAGATGTACATTGTTACTCGCAACTCTTACATGCAACTAAATTCTCCATGCTGTAATTTCCATCGTGTATTACTGATTCTTCTAAAATTTATTAGCCTGATATATGAAGCTATCATATTTTTGCCATCTTTCTTGATATTTGTGAATTTAGCATGTGGCACATTTACTAGCCTTTTGAATTTTTTCTTTGTAAAATTATTCAAACAGCTGGTGAAATGTGTGTCTCTTATTGTTGAATAAAAGTTTTCAAAGCACTATTAAATGTTTCTTGGTGGGTGTCTCAGTGCAACCAAACTTGGTAGCCAGCTCTGCACTCCTGGAGGTAAGGCCAGCGTAGCACGTGGTGCTGTGGATGGACCCCGGTCCCTGCACTTGCCTAAGCAGGTGCTTAGTCCACTGAGCTATCTTGGTGGCCCTGTAAATCAGTAATTATAAAAGCAATATTTGCTTCTAAATTTTTAACATCAGGAAGAAACAGTTTAGAATGCTTACGAATAGGAAGTACAATATTCTTCCAAGAAGCCATATGCCCCAGAACCATTTTTGGAATAATATATTCTTTTTGAATAACTTAAAATGCATTATTATTTTTATCTACAATAGTGTACACAACTTGGATGGTGTTAATTGAAAAAAAGAGATAGAAAATTGCACTGTATTTTGACAGAAAGTGACAATAAGCTACTGCACAGAATGAGAAAAGCAATCTCATCTAAAAATGATCATGAGGGTCAGCCAAATAGCTCAGCAGATTAAAGCGCCTGAAAGCAGGTCCTGGGGCAGGGGTTTGATCCTGGGGCCTGCCGTGCTGGCCCTGCCCTCGGGGCAAGCTGAGGCGGCAATTAAGACTGGGTGTGGTGGTGCACGCCTGTAATCCCAGCTCTTGGGAGGCTGTGAACAGGCAGATCACTATGAGCCTGATCTAGTAGTGAGACGCTGAACATCCTGTGAGACCTTTCCCTAAAATACAAAAAATAAATAAATAAATAAATAAATAAATAAATAAATAATAAAAATGATCATGACGTTGAAATTATACCATTTGCTCATGGTTAGTGTCATGTTTGCATATCTCCCACCCTACAATATATATGTGATCCTTGTCTCACTCTGATGTGATTGATGTTTAAGACTCAGAGTCTCTGTTAAGAGCTCCAAAAAATTTGACCCAGAAAACCAGCTACTGAAAATGATAGCCTGGTAAACCTTACCCTCAGGAAGACAGAGGAAAAGACATGTAGAGATACAAGGAAATGGGACATTTGAAAGGAGCTGAAGTTAAGCATCATCTTGAATGGAGAAATAAAGTTTCAAAAAAGGAACTGGAAAAATGAAGAGATTTGGAAATGCAGACTTTGCATCAGTGATCATGTAATAAATACTTTTCTATCAAATTCCTCAAGATGGTCATTTCATCAGTAACTACTACCCTAAAAGTTTTGCTATGTGACTGAGGTTCCATTTCTCCTGTCCAGTTTAGTGTTTCATATTCATGCACTGTATAAGAACTGTCATAATAGTGCTACAGTCCCATGGTCTCAACAAATTGTTCAGTTTCAAATTTAGGCTGACTTACAATGAAATTAGGGTTGAGTAACTTTCTTTTAGTGCTTGGCTAAATACAGTAAGTTTTACTGCTCTCCTAAAACAAGGATAAAATAAGACATAAATCAAAGAATTTAGAGCAGAAGCATAGTAGACAACCAACAAAATGTCGCATAAACAGGCAGATTTTATGAAACCCCCCCAAAATTATTAATGAATGAATCACTTACATATGCTAAGCATCAAATAAAAAATATTACCACTGTTACTGCTAGGTTTTAGCTGCATTTCTCTCTTGCCCATTTTCTAATTCCTGATCATAATTCTACCAATTACTCCCATACTTTTAATCCTTTTAGCCTATTTTCTAGTTATTAGAAATATTTCACTCTTAAACTATCAGAATGATAGATGTTAAATATAATATAAAATGTACCAAAAAATTACATGTATGACAGGATGGCAATCTCTTATACAGTTAAAAATGGGTTAATTCCTCCAGCTCTTCATCACTGACACTTATGCAGAACACAACACTGTCATCCACAGGGGTAGGGGCCAGGCGCCACCAAAGCCAAAGCCTGACACGGATGCTGTGAACTTGGTGGGATGGACTGGGGGGGTGGGTAGCAGCCAGGCACCAGTCCGTGGAGGGGACGCACAGGTGGAAGGCAGAAGAGTAGCCAAAGATTGCATCACAATAGTCACGAAATGTACGAAATTCAGCTCCAAAGTACCAGCCGCTCACCCTGGACCCACCCATGCTGAAGGGCCTCAGATCACTCCCTCCAGGAAACTGGCACAAGCCAGGGAGGAAAGCAGGACATTGGTTGATGAAAGCAGGTACTTGAAATGCCGTTTTCCCCACAAAACCAGCCCTGTGCCACAGTCAAACATCACATCGAGAACCAGGCAGGGCCCGGGAGAGCAGGGAGCTGTCACACAGGACCTGTTTGTGTTCTGGAAGCAGAGCTAGGGGCTGCGGCAAGGACGAGCTGTTTGCACGGGCAGAAGTTCTGCCCTTTTCTAATCGCACACCAGAGTAGTTTTCTTTTCCCAGAAAGGGAGAAGATTCTCTAAATTGAATATCTACACTTTAGTTACCAGATTTTCCCCCATGATCTGTCCCATCTCCATTTCAGTTTTTATTTCTGAACCTGTGATGGAATGACCTGTTCAGTAAAAATGCTGCATCAATGTTGCTATTAATAGAACTGAGAAGCAGTTTTCTAAGTTCACAAGAATTTAACTTCAAGTACTTCTTTTTTAAAATTTAATTTAATGGTGTGTGTGTGTGTGTGTGTGTGTGTGTGTGTGTGTGTGTGTTACCAGGGATCAACTCAGGACCTTGTGCTTGCCAGGGAAGCACTTATTTCACTGAGCTACATCCTCGGCCCACCTCCAACTACCTCTGCCTCACCTTGTAGTCTAACAAATGATGTTTCTCCTTGAAATTCATCTGTCATCTCTTGTTATCTGTTCTTGATTTCTGAGATCGCCCTCTTTGTCAAAGTAAATGTTTGCTGTTCACAAGTTAGTTACTACAGCACATACCTGAGGCTGGCTGAGAGGTTAATGACAAACACCTCAAGAAAACAGAGCCAAATGCCAGAGCCAAACAACTGTGCAGTCTTTGAAGTCCAAGGAGTGAATTTGAATAAAGAGAAAAAACTGTATCTATGAGCAAGTCCTCTTAAGTACACTGGTTAGGGCAGATTAGGCTTTGCTGTAAAATGAACAGGGACTGTACGAAAAAGGAATTGAAAAGATGTTGTCACAAACAATATATGAAAATCTTAAGCTTATTTTATTAAAAAGAGGCATAATTGAAGTCTACACAATGAGTGAAATTTTGGCTTTAAAAGAGGAAAGCTAATTCATATAATTAATTATTTAATAGACTAACATAATTTTGTAATCATCTGTTGAAACGTAGGAAAAAGTTATTTAGTAAAATTCAAAATGTATTCATTTCTGAAAGAAGTTTCTTAGCAAACTGAAATACAAATGTTCTGGGCATAGAAAGCCCTCTACAAAGAGCAAATCATTTATGATAATAATGAAAGTTGAGAGCATTTACATCAAGAGCAAAAGCAAAAGTACATTAGTAATCCTAGTATTGATGAGGCTTTGGAAAGTCCTCTGTGACATCTTTAATTGCATTTGGAGCTTACGAAATATTAACATGATGTGATATCTGTGTTGGTTTTCTCTTGAATGATAACACCGTAGACTTTACCAAACCTCTAAGTACCATCTGCCACAGTGGTTATTGACAAAGTGAGAATGCAAGGAAGTTATTATCACCAGGAGTTGAACTACTGAAATATGTGCCCATCGTGGTAGACTGCTCCACCTGCAAAGCTTCTGTAGTTGCCAGTGCACTCCTAAGGCTGAGCTGCTGCTCGCCAAGTGGCTGTGGTGGTCACTCAGACCCTGCACAGCTGTTAGCACAGGTGTTTACTTCCGCCCCCATGATCCTGGGGGGCACAGATGTTGAAGCATGAGGAAGGAACTTCACATAAGCACCAGATAATCAGCCTGGCAGGCAGCGTCATCACAACTGGGTTGTGGCTCTTAGGGGTTGAATTGTGTCACCCAAAACTCATGTGTGAAACTCCTAACCCCAGTGCTGCCATTCTCAAAGAGATAAGGTAAAATGGGATAGGCAGGGTGTACCCTAATTAAAGGTGACTGCTGTCCTGCTAAGAAAATATGAGGACCCAGACAGACACCAAGGAAGACCATGTGAGAAAAAAGAAAAAACCCACGTGCAGGCCAAAGCTAGAGTCTCAAAAGACACCACAGCTAGGAAGCCCTTCTCCTGGACTTCTAGGTCTAAAACTCTGAGAATATGAGTCTGTGGTTTGAGCCACCCAGCCAGAAGCATCTGGTTCCAGAAGCCCTGGCAAACTAACACAATATCCTGGAGACACAGAAAGAAAGAACATTTCAAGAGAACTCAGAGATAAGCATAAAGGAAAAAACAATAGGAGATATCATATCCAAAAATTAGATTTAGAAGTCAAAACATTGGAAAGAAACTATTGGACGTGGGAAGTATATGTACAAAACACTGACACAAGAGATATCTGTAAAGGGTTTTATTCTTTACTGGAAGTGTAGTAAATATCTTCACAATAACTTCATTTTAACTTTCTTACAACTTTGGTTCAAGCTAATTTAATACATAGTTTTTCTCCAATTTTGACAGGTTGTATTTGTCTTATATTTAAGTTCAACATAAGTTTCTCATTTTGAAAATATTCTTTATTTTGTCCACTTAGTGCTCTCAATTACTCAGAAAATAACCTTGTCGTTGATGAGCTATCCTTTAAAATTTCCCCACTTACAATAACTTTTATGGCTTTCCTAAACCAAGGATAAAACAAAGCATAAATCAGTGGATTCATGGCTGAGTTGTAATAAGCACACCAACAGCAAATCTCATAAATATAGGTGGGCGTGATGAACCCCATAAAAGCATCAATTAATGTCTCAATTGTGTATGGTAACCAGGAGATGGTAAATGCTACCACCGTGACCCCCAGGGTTTTGGCAGCTTTTCTCTCTCTCTTGGCTACTCGGGCTTTGTAACTCTCTGAGGATGTCTCTGAGGAACTGCCCATAGTACTCTCAAGTTTCATAGCTTGTTGCTTGGCTACCCAAAAGATCTTACTATAAAGGATTATCATAACAAGGGTAGGTATGAAGAATAACAGAAAATCTATCAAAACCCAATCTTGATTGACAACTATTTGACAACCGCCTACACAGCTGAGAGCACTTACCAAACTTTCCATCCCATCATCACTGACACCAGTATAGATCATGGCACCAAAGTATATCATAGGCAGAATCCAGGAGACAGCGATGCAAATGCCTGACACAGACACCGTGAACTTGGTGGGATAGGCCAAGGGGTCAGTAACAGCCATGTACCTGTCCATGGAGATGAAGCACAGGTGGAAGAGAGAAGAGTAGCAAAACGCCGCATCACAGCAGCTGTGCAGGGTGCAAAACTCCGCTCCAAAGTACCAGCAGCTCTCCACAGACCTGACCATGCTGAAGGGCATCACAGTGACGCCCACCAGGAAGTCAGCGCAGGCCAGAGAGGCAATCAGGAAATTGGCTGGAGAATGCAGCTGCTTGAAGTGGAGGACTGAGATCAGCACCAGGAGGTTTCCAAAGACAGCCAGCGCAGCCCCAGAGCCGAAGGCTGCATAGAGCAGCACCTGGGAGCCCACAGAGTAGGGCGTCCTAATGCAGGACCCACTGACATTCTCATAGCAAAGCAGCCCAGTGGGCTGGGAGAGATTGCTGCTCATGGCTCTCCTCCAGAATGCTTGCTGCGTCTTGCCCTTGGCTGCTGGAGACAATAATCATAAAGACATCAAACTGCAGGGCTGAGCACCTGCTTTCCAAGGCTGTCTCATAGTATAGCCTTTTCCTGTTTTAATTATGAAGAAATAAAAGAAATTTAAAACTCAGGAAATAACTTTGTCTTAAGTCACATAACTACACCTAAAGATCATAGCCAACCCCAAACAAATCTATGAATTTGCATGAACCCAGGAGTAGTCGCACAATCTGAAGAAATTATTTAATACCTGATTCTTTACCTCTGTGAAGCTTTTTCTTGCAAAGGACATTCATATATTTGAGAAGTCACTTTTTAGAAGGCTTCTAACTCATAAGACATTTTAGTGTGCAAGCCAATCAACTTTATTCAGTCTACGCTCCTCATAAAAAGTCCCAACAGTATAAGGTGTGAATCAGGAAAGGAAAATAATATTGATAATTATAACTAACAAGTTCATCTAAAAAACATGTTTGTCTTTGCTCTGCTGTTTTGGAGAAACACCTGATTTCCAAAACCAGATTTAATTTCAACTATTTTAATTTTCATATTTTCAAAAAGAAAAAAACTGCTTAAAACATTAGAAATAATATAGAATTTTGCTAAATAAAATAATAGGAATTCAACAATAGTTGTTATATTACATAGTGTTGTGTTTACATCAGTGTCTAGCCCACTGGATACAAGCATGCAAAATTGATTAAAAAAGAAAGAAAAAGAAAAGGAAAAAAAGAAATTAAATTAAAAAGTTATTGCTGGGCATAGTGGCACACACCTGTAATCCCAGCACTGTGGAGTAAAGGCAGGAGGATTGTTGTGAGTTCAAGACCAGCCTGGGCTACAAAATGAGTTCAAGACCAACCTGAATTGCATAGCAAGACCCTGTCTCAAAAGACACACAAAAAAGTTATAAGAAAAGAAAAAGGAAAAGAAAAAGAATTCAAGCATTAACTGCTCCTTTTAGTAGACGAGTAGAAACCAGCAGCCCAACTATCCAAGCCATCCTATATATTCAACTATTTTAGAAGAGCCTAGACCAGCATTCTCTGCCTATATATTTGCAAGGCCCTGAACAATATAAAAATCAACAGAGGAAAGGGCAGTTTTTCAAATATATAAAGGGAAATTTTCATTAAATGATTTATAGCATTTAGAGATACTACAGTATTTCTGAAGATTTCCCTCTTTTATGCTCTCTACAACCTGACATATCTGATACATCCTACAGAGTGTCCCACTTTCTTTGGTACAGAAGTGACTGCACAGGTGACTCTGTGCCCTGCCCTGCAGGTAGGCATGCAGGTAGCCATTCACTGCCAGGTTCCCCTCCTTCCATCTACTCAACCAAGTGCACAGACCTAGAAGCAAGAAGGTCCAGGTAGGTATCTGCCTTCCTTCAAGGCTGCTATCTCAACCAAAGGCAGACAGGGAACCCTGCTGTGACACAACCCCAACACCAGGAAGCAGCTGACCAATGGGTTAGGGCATGAAAGTCCAGGCCCTATAAATCAGCACTGGCAATTGCTGTGGCTCCAAGAGTCAGAGCTGGGAACACCAGACTCTGCCCAGCCCTGAGACCACAGAAGGCAACCTGTCACCACTTTCCATCCTGCATGCAGATGTGCATTGTTGTGAGGAGATCACGAGGTGGCCAGTGTGTGAGGGAAACGGAATGGGACCCACGTTGGCATGGGCTGGAGAAGCAAGTGGCAGGCAGCTGGTTAGGGAGGAGAAGACCTGGTGTCATGCAGGACCACAGGTGATTGTTTCAAGGATCCGGCTCACATTCCATTGCCCCTTTGACTCATCTAACAGAACAAAGCTTCAAAGATAACTTCATTAATAAATTCAAGACAACCATGACAAGCATCAGATTGCAGATCAGGGGTCTGCATGATTTTACCAGTCCCAGCCTGTGCAACAATTTTGCCTACTTCATTTCAGATGTGAATTTGTCTTCTCATAACAGGTACTCACAAATGAAGCAAAAAAAAAACCCTTCATGAGGTGACTATAAAACAGCCAGGTCAGAGCGTAAGAGTCACAGGCCAGGCTATTCTGACAGTTCTCCAAACCTTTTGCTCCTCTTTGATGCTATTATCAGTAATTGAGGGAGCTGAGGAAGGACATATAGGACTTAAAGCCATAAAACAGATTTCAGGTCTGGAATCATAATTAAATTTCATTGTATAAAGCAATCACCAAGTAGGCGATAATAAAAATATTTTTTTCTTTCACATCAGTATATATACTAATTCAGGATACTCTAAAATTATAAATATGATACTTAAACTGTTCATATTTTTAGAATGAAGTCTAAACTATAACACAACTAAAGCTTGTAATAACTATCTTAACATGTCACAGATGAACAGTTCAGATTATGTTAAATGAGATGTGAAAAATTCAAAGAGTGGGGAGGAACAACAATCAAGCATAGACTCTTCTTATGGGGTTAACTTCTTTGTGATTTTATGAAATTTAAGCAATGGCATTCTTTGTTTCTCTGCCACAGAGCAGTTTAGCGTTGAGGAAAACCTCCAAGGTCCAGAGTCATACAGTATCCTGCACTCACCGCTGTACAATTGTTGTTTTTCTGGGACGTGGCCTCCCAGTGCTGGTGGCTTTGATATCTAAAATAAAACCCACCCCTTCCTCCCCACCACCTACTTGAAATGGGTGGCATCATTAGCCACCACCTCCTGATTAGTCTCTAAGTGTCCTGGCAGGGATAAATGCTGCAGTGATCATAGGGATTTTCTCAGAATTGGAATGTAATGTATTGTAATGATAGAGCTCTTGCCTCCTAGTATGAGTGAGGCTTTGGGTTCAGTTTCCAATCAGAGAGGAGAGAGAGAGGCAGAGAGAGAGACAGAGAGACAGAAAGAGACAGAGAGACAGAGAGAGACAGAGAGAGACAGAGAGAGACAGAGAGGAGAGAGAGAATCTTTGGAGATGATCACTGCATCTAAATGGATTTCCCTTTTGTAGAAAACTGGCCCACCAATTCTAGGTTGCCTGGGTTGCTCTCCAGTGTGGAAAGTACTGTTTTATGTGTCTGAGTTCTCATCTTTCTTTTACAAAGTTGGATAGTTTGATATGAATTCGTCTATCTTAGCCTAAGTCCATCACTTCCTCTCTGTAGCCTCCTATGCTTGTTACATTTTATTTTGTCTCCATTCAACTAACACTTCACAAATTTAATTCCAATTTTTTCCTCGTCCCCTGTGCTTCTCATTAGGTCCTTTGGTGTATGTCTCCAACTCCCTTGATCTCTCACTGAACAGCTCACTGTGACTGGGTTGTCTACAGCTGCGATCCCCCAGGCCATGTGATTTCACTGCAGCCATTGGCCAGAGACTCAGATTCTCCACCTCTCCCAGACTAAGTGGGGCGGGCATTGACTCTCACAGGGGCAAACGAAGAGCTCCTGGAGTTCAGGGAGTACATTTCTCTCTCTGTCTCTGTCTGTCTCTCTCTCCTCCTTCTCTCCCCCTCCC